GCTCTCTTCTTTAATTTAATTATCCGTTGGTATAATATTTATGATGTCCGTTGAATTAGAAGGAATAAGCTCGACGCCAATCATAAAATCTCGATGATCACTTATATCTAATGAACGAGAGTCTGTTTTCAAATAATTTGCTATGCAGTAAACGACGTGGTTAATGAATTGTTTAAGTTAATATTAGTTAAAGAGGAAGTAATATTATAATGATTTTTTTATGTGACGTTTATATAAAACTTGTCTATAAATGCTCCTTTTAAGTTGATGGGTTGTAGTCAATCTATACTTTCGATGTGTCTTGAAACATTTTTATGAACGAACAAAAAAATAATTTGTGACACCAAAGTAAAGGAAAGATACATGAATCAATTGAGACTACATCCAAAAGAGAGCGACGCTAAGGATAGGAGATAAAAGTTACTACCTATATCAACAATGTGGACTTTCGTTTTTTGTGGCTCATCATAGGAATTTCATGGTTAAACGTGTTTTACTTGAAGCAATTTTATGTTGGGTAACCTCTTAAGAATTTTCTTAGGATGCGAGAAGAAGGTAACGTAATCATGTTACGGGAGATGAAAATGAAGAAGAATGTCGGAATCATTACGTGCCGCATTTAGATTTTGAATTTTATTTCAAATCTTGGGTATGGAGAGTTACATAAAGTTGATTTTGTAAAGGATGAAAATGCACGTGGGAAGAACATGAATAGATGGGTGGCGAGAAATAAAATGTTCTATAAAATGTGTGTCTTTGTGCATGAGGAGGTGAAGAAATCATCATAACATATATGTATATATAGCAATAAGAATGTGGGGGGGAGAACATGAAGACAACATATGTGACAAAGAGAGACCAACTTTTTCGAACTGTCGGTTGGTTTTTACTGTTTTAAGGGAAATGAAACAAGTTTCACGTTGATAGTAAAAAAACTCTTATGGTAAGTCTTTTCCTTAAATAATGCACTTTAATAAATCAAAATTTAAGTTTAAATATGGTAAAATTAGGCAATGAAATTATTACAAAGAGAAATCCCTTTCGGTTAGATTTTAAAATAATAAGGAAGATTCGTATAAGTAACATATATTTAAAAAATAGCTTTAATAATAATAATAATAATAATAATGATAATAATGATAATAATATAGTGATGGAAGTAGGAAGAGAAAGGAGATCCACAGGAAGGGCATGTGGGGGTGGGAAAAGGGCAATGTTTATCCAACAAGAAAAGGGGACTTGAAAGTGGCCTTAGCAAAGGAACGTGACCCATTTGGGGACAAGTTGGACGACTGAGATTTGGTTCACAGAGACAGCGGTCAGCGGGGAAGGGACGCTGCCTCAGCCTACCAAAACTAACCAACTCCTCCCAGTTGAGGGACAACGGCAATCTTGGGAGGGCCATGGACAAGGGCATGCGGTCCTACAACCCCATGTGCATTTATTTCTGTGGCAGTTAGGTCTTCACCCTTTCTAGGACCATCCCTTCTCCCCTACTTCTCAATTTCCAACCCTTTAAATAATTGAAAAGTTGCGATATTGTCCATTTTGGCTTGATACGTATCGTCGTTAGTCTGATTTTATTATGTGTTTACTAGAGAGACATTTCCACATCCTTATAAAAAATTCTTCGTTCCCATCTCTAACCAGGTTTCTACACCTTTGCAAGAGATTAGTAAGATCTCACAATCCACCCCATTGGAGGCTTAACTGCTGACACACACACAACTCGATGTCTAATTCTAATACCATTTGTAACAGTAAAAGTCCATTGTGTAGCAAATATTGTCCGTTTTGACCGGTTACGATCGTCGTCAACCTCATAATTTTACAATTCGTTTACTAGAGAGAGGTTTCCACGCTCTTATTATAAGAAATGGTTTGTTCCTCTCTCCAACCGATGTGGAATCTTGGACGGGTACATATATATACATAATTTTTAACGAAAGTCGATTAAAATTAATTACAGCAACTTATTAGCAAGAAAATTAACGGAGTATAATTGAAAATTTTACCTACCAAGCATGGGTAATTCGACCAAAATGATACCTTGGGCCTATAGCTGCAACTACAAGAATCTTTACTTTCGGCTCACAAACTCAGTTTTGGGTATGAAGCCCATTACATTTCATCAGTAAACTTGGGCCTAGATGACGTAGCCCAATATAGAAGTAGAAGAGCCCATTCTATATAGAGCCCATCAAGGGGACCAAGATTGAAATTACCATTCAACCCCTTTCTTTGTTGGGGAGTTCAAAGAACGGCCAACGCAGGAAGTTCATTTTAAATTTTGTTTTTATATGAAAACAAAGAAAACGACAGCATTTTTTGTTATTTTTATTTTAAATAATTTATGCGCAATAAATCTGCATTTAAACGAATTTAAATGATAATAAATTTTATTACAAAAGCTAACCACCATCATTATTCAAATAAAACCAAATTTTAATGTCTTACCAAACAAAGAAATAATTATAGTAAAAACATAATATATATATACAACACTGCCTTTAAGAAATAAAGTACTTTTAAAATACAAAAGAAAACAAATAATATTTGTAGAAATTATTTTGTAAAGATAACATCTATTAGAAATGATGACATTGAAACTATTGTCGTTTATAGTTTCCCACTTCCGCAGGTAAGAGGTAGGTTGTGGGACCCACTCCAATTCCAACTAATTATAAATAAAAAATAAAAAATAAAAAATCGTAAAAATTTGTCCTTTTTTTAAAAAAAATAAAATAAAATAATTCATCAATTTTAGATGCCTTTCCTTCCAATTGATTTCTGGAACCTTTAAAAATGGTCCCTTTTGTATTTTGTTTGGTAATTAAATTATTCGGTCTATATTTATCATAATTTTGATGTAAGAAATACATAAAATTAACTTCTTGCTCACTTTATTCTTTCACTTTATCTTTTTTACAACCTCATCCACTTGTATCTTTCACTTTCCACATATATATATATATATATTTATATATATTTTAACGTTTATCTAAAAAAAAAAATGGACAAGACAAAATATCACTCGATCTTTAGCTTTACTTAACATTTTATTTGAAAGAAATTGAGTAGCCATGCGATAGAATGTGACATCCTTAAATGTAGTACCTAATAAGTTCATGAAATATATATTTTTAAATTAGTTTAATTTATATGGTACTAATATTTTTTTTTAAATGTTTGGATTAAAATTAAAGTATAAGGAACGTTCACACCATTAATAGAATTCAAACTGGACAATTTGCTTATGGATGTGATACATAAATCAAAATCAAATCTTTGGATAAGAATAAACTAACACAAAACAGATTTAAAGTAATGTAGACTTATTCAACATATTCTTTCTCTCAAATGTGTTTAAAGATGAGGATGACGACTTTTTATTTTTTCCCACTACAAAATATGACCGCACTATTTATGTTTGAATGATTTGGTCCTAACTAGAATAAAATAAAATATATAATCGAGCCTTCGACCCTCTCTTTTTTTCTTTTTTAATTTTATTTTATGAATTTTGGTGGTTGAATGTTTTATAATTGATGTGTTACTGAGTTCACTCTCTACTCAAAGACAACTATCCCTTTCCTTTGTATGTTTAACTGCGATCCCTTGTTCTACCCAGTGGGGTACATACACAATCATCGAATTTAACGATTAGGTTCAATTATGGTCTCATCGGACACCCAGTGAAAGACTGACATTCAATTATGAAGCAGACACGAGTGAAATTTGTGGCCCCTAAACACAGCGACTGCTGTGTTGCATCGGACTACTAAAAAACTAATACCCCAACACGTTCCTAATCCCCACTCATCAAATTATCAAAATATCGCAACATTGATAGATCACAATTCTTCTACTCTAAATCCGAAACCATATGAATGACGATATATCTATTTATCATTGAACGATTTCATTGAAAACCAATCAAATTACTCAAAATGGGCAACAAAAAAAAAAAAAAAAATCATAATGACGAAGAAGTTTATAGGAGTTAGTCAAACTAAGTTAGAGATTTATTTACCTTTAAGTGGGTGGGAAATCCGAGTGAATATTGAGTGAGCCATAGACAAAGCTTCCCTCAGCCACGTGACCTCCATGTGCCTCTTTGGCTTCGTTTCATCGACAATGCCCCACAGCCGTTCCTCAATTGCCCTTTGATTCCTAAATGTCTTCCCTTTCTCACATTAGTCCTTATCAATAAAATACTCCTTCCCATAAATACTTATCAACTTTGCCTTTTCATTTTCTCCTCAGTTTCGGGTTTGTTCACATAAACATGTTATTTGCATACAGAGTTAGATGTGGATGTGGGAGGAAGGTAATAATTCAAGCTCACTGCTAATAAGCATCGTTCGTTTTGGTCCATTACGTATTGTTGTCAGCCTCACGTTTTAAAACACGTATACTATGAAGAGGGTCAAACCCTATTCCAACCAGTGTCGCGCACTGTCCTAGCAAATATTATCCACTTTTGTGCTAACGTATAACCGTCAGCCTCATGGTTGTTAGAGAGAGTTTTTCCCACTCTTATAAGAAATGATTCGTTCTCCTCAATCGATATGGGTCTCGTAAGAGAAGGGAAGGAAAGGAACGGAAAGGAAAGGAAAGGAACGGAAAGGAAAGGAAAGGCAATGTAATCTTAAAGTTAAAACCATATGAACCAGAGAAAGAAACAACCTAGTAGGACATCAAATGTTACCCAGACAGAGAGTTTGGGTGGAACATTTGCCACTGCTCCAAGCCGAAGTGACAGCTTACTTCAACTTTTGAAGTTTGAAAGCAAAAAGATGATAATAAAAAGGAAGAGTAAGAGAAAGATTTTGTGCTAAGAATCAGCATTTATTTATACTGTCTAATCTTTTGATTAATCGAGGATCGGGTACCCATTACAGCCCAGTTTTTTTGTCTCTGTTCTTCTCAATTAATAATGAAACCTCCATTTTCTTCTAATTATTGCCTACCCCATCTCACCCCCTTTACCTTTATGTATCACTACAATAAACCCATTTATTTGCTGTTAATTTTCTTGTCCATATCCCAATTCTACTCAACTCTCTCTCTCCTTAGCTTCTATTCAAATACCCCCACCCCCTTTCTATGATTTTCTTCTCTTCCTCTCTTGTTTGGCCACAGCAAAATTCTATCTGGGAGTTCTTAGTTTCTTACAATGGGGCTGTTTGGGCGTTTTGTTTCAGTTCTTTTGATGTTTTATCCTGATTTGTTCCTTTGAGAAGGTCCGCCATGGGAAGTAGAGCTTTTTGCAGCCATGGATACTATTGTTTGGCATGTTCTTGGGTATTGGTTTTTTGAGTGGCCACTGACTTGTAAGATGCTTTGAAACTTCGTTGGAATACTAAGAATTGTTTGATTTAACTCTTAAAGGATCATTGTTCATCGTCCTTTCCAGTTGAAGGCAGATCAGGAACAGAGAACACAAGGGTTTGATTGGCACATGAGTGATATGAACTTTCTATTTTCAGTCTCTCTTGTTGTTAGATTCGCTCATCAAAGAACTAAGGGGTTTTGAATTATCAAGTTTCACTGCGGAATTTCATCAAACAGGTTGAAGATCTAAAGAAAATTACCTTTGGCAGCGTCATTCCTGCTGTTGTTTAAAAGTTGTTAGCTGCTCCTATGGCGATGGTGTCCGATCATCACCGTCCCCGTCCCCACCGCCTCCTCCTCGACGCCAACACGACGGAGGCGCCGTCGAATGGAAGCAGAACGCGAAATTCGTATACCAACGAAGCCAATTTCGACACGAACATGGTGATAATCCTTGCCGCATTACTCTGCGCATTGATTTGCGCTCTAGGATTGAACTCAATCGTTCGCTGTGCACTTCGCTGCAGCCGGCGATTCTCCTTCGAGACAGGCGGCGGCACAGCCTCGCGCCTCGCCGCAACAGGGCTGAAGAAAAGCGCATTACGCAAACTTCCGGTCACCGTATACGGGTCGGAGTCGGGTCTAGGGATTCGAGAAACGGATTGCCCTATCTGCCTGGGAGATTTCATCGCCGGAGAGAAAATCAAAGTGCTTCCAAAATGTAACCATGGATTTCACGTTCGATGTATCGATACCTGGTTGGCTTCCCACTCGTCGTGTCCGACCTGTCGTCAATCGCTGTTCGAACAGCAGTCAGCTTCTGAATCAACGGAAGCTGACGCCGGAAACCGACCCGCCGGAAATCCATCAGCTAGCGGCCAAGGTGAGATCTCGATACCCATAGATCAAATCAGCTGATTTCAAGGGCTGCCATTTCCATTTGCATATAAATTCTTTAATTGTTTGCAGCTTTTAGCCTCTTCTTTTGGGTAATAATCTGGATTATACAATAATCAATATAATTAATGGTTGCCTTGTGAACAATAAATATAATTTGCAAATTTTGAGAAAATTAGATTATTCAAACTCGTATGTCGTTCTAAATTACTTGCTATGTTCTAATATAATCATTATATTAATGACATTTTTATAAAATTGTAATTTTAAAAATCTTATGCTTTTAATTGAATTTAATGTTTTAAGAGATTGAGAAATTGGCATATTTGCTCAACCAAATCTAACGATTAAATAATTGTTCGACGATCTACTTCGACATAGGATAAGGTATTATTTTAATTCATAAAGTTCAGTATGTGGTTATTATAAATTAAAGTGTATATATGTATATATATTTTTTTATTTTTTTTGTTATTTTATAATATTTTTTAAAAATTTATTTTAAAGAAAATTTGACTATGGGTCGAGAAAAATGCCATTTTATTTTTTCTTTTTAAATAAATAACTTCCCTTTTTTATTTTAGTTTGAGAATATAGTGAGAGTAAATTTTACCCGAGTAGATATTGTCATATTTAGATTTTTACTTTTGACTTTTTTACGGGCTTCTCTCATGTTTTTAAAACATGTACGATGTTAGGGAGAAGTTTCGACACCCTTATAAAGAATGTTTTGTTATTCTCTCTAACCGATGTGAGATCTCACAGTCCATCCTCCCTTAGAGGCTCAACGTCCTCGTTGACACACTGTCCAGTGTCGGGCTCTTATACCATTTGTAACAGTATAAGGCCACCTTTGATAGATATTATCCGTATCATACTCACGATTTTAAAATGGGTATGTTAGGGAGAGGTTTCCATACCTTTATAACAAATATTTTTGTCATCTTCTCTGGTTGATATGTGATGTCGTAACTAATTGAATTATTATTAAGTCGACAGAAACGTGGGACGAATTAGGGAGTGAAAGAATTTTTAAAGTGTGACACATACTTATCAAATAAACACAATTAAAGTAGAATAGGGTTGTATAATTAATTGAATTTAATGTAGTTTGGTGAGTAGAAATGTGTCTTTCATAAGCTCAAATTTAATAACCATTAATACAAAATTGGAAAAAGAAAATGGCATCACGGGGCCCACACAACATAAATGGGATGCCATTCCATTGATGGGATTTATTTGAGAAAGCCATTTCCAACCATAACTTTCTTTAAACCCTAAACCAAAGGAGGAAAGCAAATTACAAAATTAAAGGGGAACAATAAAATGGATAATAATTATTTAAAAGAATAATGTTTTCAAAAATAAAATATAAATATAATCCTCAACTCAAATATGTCCACACTCCTCAGGCCCATAAACTCCATAAAGCCCACACGTTGAAAAGGCCTTAAATAAGTGTCAATTTTTATTTTTGCCAATTCAAGAACTAATTTTAATATTAAATAAGTGTTATTAATTTATTGAACACATAAAAAAAATTGTTGATAATTGAAACAATAAATTTTTAGATGGATTAAAATTTTAAAAGCAGTCCAGGTTTATTTCTGTGCAAGCTCCATCAGTGCTGATGAGTCAGCATGGATATGCCGACGTGGACTCAAAACAGATTTGATTGGTCAGAATTCACCGAAGGCAGAGACCAAGAAGCGTGGGCGCTTTTGAACTCCATGCATATTCCTCATGCCACCACGTGCCATGTCAGCAACTCATCCCCATCCACGTAGGACCCACTCATCGCTAATGAATCAACGGCCACGATCAAAAGTCCCAGCGGGTTACCCTTTTAAATTCCTTTTAATTCACCTTATTTTCGCGTGTAAAACTCGTGGAAACCCCCCCAAGCCACGTTCTTTTTTGCTGGACCTCGTGGCAGTTTCCTCACTGAACACGCCATAAATTCCCTACATCAACCTCCACCGTAATCACCAGAACTCCACCAATTGCGTTCGACACAAAGACAATGTGAGGGTAAGATCGTCATTTGAAATGAGAAATGAAGGCAGCTGCACGGAAATAAAATGATGCATATCACAGAGAAGCATAACAAAGTCGGAATTCCGAGTGGTGAAAGAAGACCCGAAGCCAACGAGTTTAAGACTGCCGGGACTTCTCTCTGATCAAAATCATAACAAAAAAAGCAAACCAAATTTGACCATTTAAATGCCAACAAATTTCTAGTTTCGTTTTCGAGTTGCGCGATTGGTTTGATCCTTTTCGGAACTGAATTTAATCCCTTCGATTTATCCAGTCTCGTTGCCTCCACCACGCCGTCTGCTTCAACCACAATCGTTTTCGATCGAAAAGCAATTCCAAGAAGGGAAGGCCATCGTCTTCCCCATCGGCCAATTGCTCATTTCTTGTTTTTGCCTATCCGCTGCAGAGTCTGAGATATCAAATGGCTTCTTTAGGAATTCGATGTGGAGGAAATTGCGGTGTATTAGACCGTCGTTATGTGAATGTTCACGACGGATGTGATCAGAAAGCAGGTCCTCGTTCTTTGGCGGTTTCCACCGGAGGATTGAGGAAATCGAGCAGTTCCGTTTCTACAATGAAGAGTTTGCAGTCGGTGAATCGCCATGTGAAGGACAGAACAGACAGCAACGAGGTGATTTCTCGCGATAAGTTCGATGAATGGATGAAGGAATCGGTAGTTAACATTGTAAAAAATCTTCGAGAAGCGCCTCTGTTTCTACGAGTTTACACGACGGATGAGGACGGCGAAGCAGCGAGATTCGAAACGGAGAAGGCGGTGGAGGAAGATCGTTGGCCGATCTTAGAAAAGCAATGGAAAAGTGGAGCGGCGCCGACGCCGGAAGGCATCATGTTCGTTGAAGAGCTTGAAGACGAGGATTACGAGGACGGCGAGTCGAAAGCGTGGGGGATTGTAATACAAGGCAGAGGCGTTGAGCGTGGTGCGCCGGTTTGTTACCTGTTGAAGACGAGTAGAGCGGCGGGGCTAGGAATGTGGTGCACGCATTTCTGTCTGGTTAGGGTTAAGAATTTCAGAGAGACGACCAAATCGCAGCTTCAGAATTGTTGGTTGGTGCAGAATCAGTAAGAGATGAAGCAGATGCAGTTGCTACACTCATAATTCCAAATCAATTCAATACGTAATAACACACACTTGTGGAGTAATAATGGTTCATACAATTTTTATTTCCTTACTTTCTCTCGTTCGATCGAAAAATCATCCTTCTCTCTCATCGGAGATGGAAGCAGGGGGGGAGAGAGAGAGAGAGAGAGAATTAGTTATTTCTAGTTTTTATTGTTAATTACTTTTTAATTTTAATATCTAATTAGTTATTTCCAACCTTGTTTATTTTCTCATCCAAGCTGGCTTTTCGTTTGTCATAGTTCAAATAGCAAACATAATATTGAGTTGTAATTTTAAATGTTTTTTGAGAATATAATTGAATTATTGTGTATAGTTCTGTTAAGATTCAATTAATTATTTTATTTATTCATAATAGTTAATTAATTTGGTCAACCCAATATAAAAGTCATTAATTTGGGCCTTCACCATCTTAATTTTTTAATTAAATTAATATTTTAACCAAGTCTTAAATATATATTTTTTTAGTTTAAGTTGGATTTTCAAGTTCAATAATTTTATTTATTGAATTTTCAACAATTTTATTCGCATGTTTTACATTTTTATTTCTTGAATTTCCGAACTCAAAAAATGTAATTTTATTTTATTGTTATTTTTTTAATTTTGATAATTGACTTTTTTTTTTTTCGATTGAAATTGTCCATGAAGGAATATTGTTTACTAATTAATTTATTTTTTTTGATAAATAATTTTAAAACGGAGCCCTCACCGGACCACGCCGTCTCTCCGGACGTAACGAGGAAGGAGGAAAGAGACTATACCCGCGTTTCCACACTTCGTTGATTTGACTTTTCCATCGAAGACTTCTCCTTCCACGTACTTTCCTCGTTGAATTCAGAATCTTCAACAATGTGGCGTGTTTCCGCCATCTCGAGTTTATCGCGGTTCTGCTTGATTCGCCCGTCGTAGAAAGGCGGCAGATCTTTCGCGGCGATGAATCGTGATTTGGTGCTCGTATTCGTGTTCTTTGTTCTCATTCTCGTCTCTCCTGGATCCGGTGCTTCTCTCTCTGACCGTATTTGGAATCTTCGTCTCCGCTTTTCGCTTTCGAAGGATTCTCCCGAGGTCTGTTTGAATTGGATTCTGGATCTCCTCTTTTCATCTATTGATTTTAATGCATCTTTTGGATTGTACTTTGAAACTTATATTTCTCCTTTTTTTTTTTTTTTTTTAGCGTATAGCTCCAGCTCCTGGTCCTAGCTCTGTTATCAATGGCAAATTGATTGGGGGCGTCCCGATAAGTTCTCCAACTCCTGCAATTCCTCCATTTCCCAGTTCAACTGATGGTTTTACCTCAGAGAAGTGCGACAGGAACAAGACTTGCCACGATCTTAAGAAAATGACTGCATGCCTTCAGTTCGCAGAACAAGGTAATTGCGTTTTTCTTCCTTTTTAGCTTCTATCATGAGTTGCTTTTCTCTGCAAATAAATTAAGCCTGTGATTTGAGAGGATTGCACCTCTTTTTAATATAGAGCGAACACACTTCCCATGATGTTCTATGCGTATTGGTTACTGAAGTGGGATTTTTTGTTTGCGAAATTCTCTTGCTATATATTTTTTTTTTTTTTTTTTTTAAATCTTTCCCGTTTCTAATGACCAACTTAATATGTAGTTGTTATTTTGCTGATAATAGCGCCCCTTACTTGTAACGATGTTACTTTTAGCAACCCTGCCAATGAAGTCAGCTTTGGTAGAACTAGAAGCTAGGGGATGTGAGGGGTTATTTTCCAATTAGTTTATGAGGGAAACATAAATAGTTACTATAGGAAGCATATCGTGATAGTAGCAGGATGTCTGTAATGTACTCAAATACATTGAAGAGTTCTATCAGCTCGTACCTGTAACAACCTTGCTGATTCACAGTCCCAACAAGTTGCTCATGATCATGTATTGTGAACCAACAAGTTTTCATTACCTAATTGTTATTGATTTGTACGTGGTTATTAGGATCAAAAGTGGTGGGGAAATTTTCCTGAGAGGGAA